CGATCATTAAGGAGAAGGTAACTTCGCAACCTTTGATTGTATATATACTATATTGGGGTTATTTTTTGATAATTTAAATATTGGATTCAAGTTTATGATGAAAAGAGTTTCGATTGGGTAGATTTTAGGCCTTCCAGCCATTGTGGTTGGTGGTCGGAGTGGTAGAGGATGATGGCCGATGGAGTTTGGGGTGGCCGGTTTCTCGAAAATTTCGAGGGTTGAGGGATTAGTTGAGAGGATTTTGGGCTAGGTTTTTGTGAGGGAAGATTACAAAATTCGAAAAAAAAGGAATTTGGGATTTTTATAGGAGGGACGTGGGTGTAATTAAAAAATAATTAAATTCTTTTCATCTTCCCTATAAATTCATTACATAGTTCATTTTGGTCACCAATTTTATAATTTTGTCCTTGCAATTTTATTTTTAATTCAATTGAGCCCTTGTTTCTTTATATTTTGTTTATTTCTTTGTTATTTTAAATTCTTATTACATTAATATTTTTATGATACCATGTTTTATTTATTAATCTAATATTTATATTTTTTGACATATTTTAGTATAGATCAATCTAAATACTTATTAATGACATGTGTTTTTATGGTATGATATTTTTATTTGACAAGCATGATTAACCAATTCAACGTTTAACCTTAGCATGATCATTTTTAACCTCGTAATTTAATTGTTTTATTTTATAAAATTTATTATTGATCGTATTCCATTCTTAATTATTTTTAAGCATGATAGTCTCATCCACGTTACTTGAACTTCTCCGTAATAAATTAAAGGCAATTCACATTTAATTTAAATTATCTAGAAAGTTACCTTAATCCACCTTAGTAGTTTAATTCAGTGATTTAAAATAAATGATTACCCTCCACTAAGACCATAAAAAATATAATAACTTTTAAAATTGATCAAGAGGGTAGAAAGGGAAATTATTAGATTTATAAAAATGAGCCCCTCGACTTTATTCAAAGGTTTAGTTTCGGTACTTATAAATATTTGAGCATCCCCTATCTATCTTAAAGGTCCGATAATTTCCATTAATAAAGCTTTTGTTTGTTGCACAACTTTAGATAAATAGATACAATGATTATGATATTTCTTGTTTCCTTCTGAATAAGAGAAATTGTCATTCTATCTAATATTAGGTTATGTTCCCCTTTTGTTTGAAACATTAAAATGTTAATAATTGAACTTAAAATTTTTGGAGAAGAAGATTGGTGATTCATCGCTTTGTTGGAAACGAGAGGGATGTCACTCTACCTTATATTAGGTGGTTAACTTTCTATAGTTAAATGTACGAACCGTTAATTTTCTCTCCAAAATTTTAATAAGTTAAATAGCATTTTATTTATTTAAATAAATGGGGTTATTAATTAAATTAAAATTTGAATTCATAAATTTCATTGCAAAGACAATAATTAATCGACTAGGTATCGATTTTTTGATGTCGTGGGGGTGTTAATCCTTCCCCACATATAGCTGACTCTCAAACTCATTTTTCTAGAAGCCAGACCTAAAAGTCGTTTTAATAATTTTCAAAACTAAATTTTATAAAAAATAACAAAATATTTTTGGGTGATCCAATCACACCCTAAATAAATATTGATAACACCTCTCTCGAACCACCTTTTTATTTTTAAAAGGAAAAACAAATTTTAGTCGAAATGAACCCTTAAAATTATTTTTTTGAATTTTCGAGACGTTACAATAGGGGTAGGGTTCTTTGCCTTTAGCGCATGGGTTATTTGCGCATTAGATCTCTCTTCCCTTTTGTAAGACTTTCAATTTAGTCACTAAATGAACTTATTTTCTCTTATTTCAAACTTTGTTATTTGTGTTTCATTTCATTTTCTTCCTTGTTTGTTCTTTTGAATCATTTATGTTTATATTATTTATTTAGACTGCTAATTTACGTTTTTTTCCTTTTTAGTCCTTTTTGCATGCTGATCACTTTTTTGCTTCATTTTCATTAAACATCATATTTTAAGTCTTTTCAATTTGGTCACATATTGATGGATGGTTTTGATTCTTTTATTTTGCATTTCAGCATGCCATTATTTAATATTTGTAATTTAGTCCCTATATTTCAATAATGCATGCATTTTTGTATCATTAGTTTTATTTTAAGTACTTTAATAAGTATTGAATATATATTTACATATTAAATCTATTTTTTTATACCTTAGTATACTTTGCTTATTCATTTTTTTCTGAATTAATCATTGGTATCTGATCTATTGACCGGCTAATCCAGATCATGTACTGTAGAGGCGAGGGAGACCCTCCAACCCAGTTTGCTCTATTCGTAAACGCCAAAATTCGAACTCCTGACCTTACTTAATGGACCTAGTGCTTCATCCCATTAGTCCAACTGGTTTTGGTACTTATGCATTAATATATGTGTTTATATTAAATATATATTTTCATCCTTTTTTACTTGTTGTGTATATATATATTATTAAATCTTGTATTTTATTTTACAAAAATCTCTATGTCAGTATGTTTTGGTTAATATTTTCAAGAACATCTATTGTAGAATGAGTGTGAAAAGCACTACTTAATAGAAGTAGTGCAATTCGTTATGACATTTGAACGAAAAAGTGAACTTGAAATAAATCTATTGTCAGTATGCTTGCACGTCTTATTTTTTTTTATTGTTTTTATTGCTTTTATATTTGATTTATGTATATTTATTTATAGATAAAAAGGGGGACATTGTTTCATAGAGAAGAAAATCAATGGGACAGACTTCTTATTAGATGATGTGAAAATCATGTGGTTTCTTCTCAAAATGGGGAATGTCTCTCTATAAGCAATTCAAAATAAATTAATACATGTTCAATAAAAAATATCACATTTTAAATTTCGACTTGAATTTGCAAATTCCACCACTATAACAATGTATAAGCGATTAGATACTAATTTTGGGTGTTGTGGGGTGTTGATCCTTCCCCACGCGTAATCAACTCCCGAACCTTTAAAATGAATCTTTGGTGAACGAGGATCAACTTTCGTCTTTAAATTATTTTTCTTAAAATTGTTCTAAAAGATATTTTAGGCATTCTACCTAAAAGATCGATGGCGATTCTAAATCAAATTTAAACAAAAAGATAGATTTTTCCCATAATAAGTCATAAACGTAAATGGGGTTCTCTTAAAAATAGAAACCTCCTTTCCTCTTTTTCATTTTTTTTAAAAGCGTTACAACAGTGTTAATCCACAAAGCACTGCAATTACATGTATGCATGAATAATCTTAACACTCAGAAAGTTTAGCAGATGTTATTTAAAAAAAAATTAACTTATATTGTGGGGCATCACCGCTTCTAAGGAGAGGCTCGAGTATGCCAAGGTTTGCGTCGAGATTGGGGTTGCTGTTGTTATTCCTGAACTGGTTAATGTGTTGTTGAGCGATGGTTTTATAGTGAGGATTAGGGTTTTATACCTTGGTTACCTAAATTTTGTCAGTATTGTAAAACCTTTGGACACCACACTAACGTGTATGTTGAGGCACCATATAAAGACGGGATGGCTAAAGTGGAGGGCCGCTACTGGAGTTCTGTGTGACAAGAAGGTGCCTCTAAAACTTAAGGGAAAGTTTTATAGAATGGTAATAAGACCAGCGCTGTTGTATGGATCAGAATGTTGGGCAACCAAGAAGGATCACGTAAGGAGGATTGAGGCCGCAGAAATAAGAATGCTTCGATGGACATGTGGTAGGACTCTGTGGGATATGATGACAAACTCTGCGATTAGGATTCCTTGGCAGTGGTGTCTGTTTCCGAAAAATTGAGGGAAGGAAGACTACGGTGGTTTGGGCATGTCCTTAGGCGACTACCGTCGGATGCGGTCAGGAGGGTAGAGTCGATTACAGTCGACGGTGCCAGAAGGAAAGGACGACCAAGGCATAAGTGGGAAGACTGCTTGAGATCTGATTTGAGGGATTTAGCCCTTACCGAAGACATGACCTCTGATAGGAAAATATGGAGGCTAAAGACTAGGGTAGTCGAGTAGTGTGGGTCACATCTATAGGGTGTATCATCTCTGTCTTCTTTTAATGTCTTTGTAGTATTTTCCATGACTTCTACTTTTTATACGTTTCTGTTATTGGTATTTATTAAGGATTAGAACTGGGCTTGCTATCGTTGACTTCTGTGTATCATTCTCCTCATGTTTCCTCTTTTAAATTTAGCCGGGTCTTATGTTTCTGTCTATATGCAGAGATTCTTTCGCAGGGATTATTATGCAGGGATTAATTCCCGTTACAGACGCACATATGATTTTAATGACTGCATATGAATACTGTTTAGCTATGTATTTATTTATATATGCATTGAATTTTATCTATATTTTTAATTTTCTGACTGTCGGAGGTCTTCCACGGAAGCTACTCTCAACCTGGCGTTGGGGGCAGCCTATTACCCTACCTCCCCCTTACCCCATACATATGGGAATTGGGTTTTGTTGTTGTTGTTGTTGTTGTTGTTCCCTAATGCAATCCAACCTGTTGACAGTGCTGAAAGTATAAGAACAACTGAGCTAAAGGTGGGGGATGCTAAGGAGATGATTGTACAGGCCCTTAAGAGATCAGTGTTGATTCTTCTATAGTTAATGTTGATCAGGCTATTTCGGATATGGCTGATAAGGGGGTGAAACAGCTTGTAAGTGTTGAAGTAGTTGAGTAGAGTGGTTTGCAAGGTGTTCCTCCTGTGGGAGTGAATTTCCTTCTTTGCAAGACTCTATGGTGCTTAAGAAGAAGGTTAAGGGAAGGAAAAAAAGAAAATGATGGATCTTCAAGTAAGTTGGAAATGTTGGCCGGTGGTGGAGGCTATGATCGAAAGCCTCGAGCTGCTGCTATGGGAGTCACAGTTCTTCTTAATGAGATTAGAACAAAAAATGATATGGTTGATAAGGTTAAAGGTAGTGATTGTAGTGTTGGGGTTGGCAATGTTGGTCCTCCTCTCCACTCTTAAATGTTGATCTATTTTTGGAATATGAGGGGTATTAATAATACCCTCAAGCAAGGCAAAGTTTTCAAAAGATTAGAGAGCCATGGGGTGGATGTGGTTTACCTCATGGAGACTAGAATTAGAAGTATTAACATTTCCATGTGGGTTGCCATCTTGTCTGATGAGTGGAATTATTTGGCCAATTATGATTTTGTTGATGGTGGTAGAATCTGGGTTTTATGGAAGAAGAGGATTTCAGTTTCTGTTGTTGGAGGATCTGACCAAGCCCTTTCCATTTTAGGTGAAGCTGTTGGTCATAGTGTTATGATTATTGTAGTTTATTGCATTAACAACAATCTAGCTAGGAGGGGCCTGTGGGATTACTTAAGAAGCTTGGAGAGTGTTGTTGGTAATTATCCTTGGGTTATTGGTGGGGACTTCAACGTTGTAGATGTGGCCCATGAGAGTTATGATTATCCTATAATGGGATCACATTCCTTACCTGACATAGAAGAGCTTCAAGGTTGCATGGAAGACTTGGAGCTACAAGATCATCCCTTTGTAGGGCCTCTCTTTACTTGGTCTAACAAGCAAGATGGCTCCTACTTGGCTAGAAAGCTGGATAGAATTCTTGTCAACCCACAATGGATGCATGAGTTTCCAATTTCCTTTGCTGAGTATAAAGCTCCTGGAGTATCAGATCACTGCCTGGGGTTAATTTGGACTCAGAAAGAGGCCAAGATCCATAAGCCGAAACCATTTAAAATTTTCAACTGTTGGGCTACAAATGAGAATTTTCTTAGTAGTGTTAAGGCTTCTTGGGTGGAATTCAGTGATGGTAATGCTATGCAGGTACTGTTAATAAACTGAAAATATTGTAGCCTATTTTGAAGGTGTTGAATAGAACTCACTTCTCAGACATTTCTGCTAGAGTGAAAGCCAAAAGAGCTGAGCTGGAGCAAATTCAGCTCTCTAATCTTACTGATGTGAATCATGTTGGGATGGAGGTAGAGAAGAGAGTTCAATCTGAATTAGTTGACCTAGAAATAGCAGAACTGGACATCTACAGGAAGAGAGATAAGGTCTATTGGTTGGAAAAAGCACCATCCGAATACTAAAGAATGACAATGGTGATTTGTTGGAGACTTTTGATAAGATGGCTGCAGAGTTAGTTGATTTTTACAGCAAGCTTATAGGTGCTGCTGACCCTTTGGTTAAAGATGATGTTGAGAGAGTTCTGGCAGGTGAGGTCTCTTACAAGGAGATTAAAGATGCTTTGTTCAGGCAGGGAGGGATAAGAGCCTAGGCCCAAATGGTTACACTTCCTGGTTTTTCAAGGTGGCCTGGGAGATTGTGAATAAGGACTTTCTCAATGCAGTGAGGTACTTCTTTTAGACTACCTACCTTCTTCATTCTTTTAATGCTACTACTTTAGTCATTGTGCCTAAGTCTCTGAATGCACGCATGGCTAGAGAATTTAGGCCTATTTCTTGTTATTTTGTCATTTACAAAACAATTACTAGAATCCTTGTCACTAGGCTTGCTCAGTTTTTTCCTGGAATGATTTCTACTAGCCAATCTGCTTTTGTTAAAGGCAGAAGTATCTTTGATAACACATTGTTAGCACAAGAGATAGTTAGAGGTTATTCTAGAAAGAATCTCTCCCCTAGGTGTGCAATTAAAGTTGACTTGCAGAAAGCATTTGACTCTATCAGCTGGGAGTTTTGTTGAATGTCCTTAATGCTATGGGTCTTCCTCAAAATTTCTGTAATTGGATTAGAGTCTGTGTGACAACTCCTAGCTATTCAATTGCTTGAATGGCAGCTTAGTGGGTTATTTTAGGGGTGCAAGAGGTGTTAGGAAAGGGGACCCTTTATCTCCTTACCTATTTGTAATAGTCATGAATTTTCTTTCAAGTTGCTTGATGCTGCTGTTAGGAATTGCATTTTCAGATTTCACCCAAGGTGTAAGAGGATCTCCCTTACACACTTGTGCTTTGCTGATGATTTGTTATTGTTCTGTCATGGTTCTTTGGACTCAATGATGGCTTCTTAGTATTCTGGATAAATTTTATGACCTGTCTGGTCTTAAGTTGAATGTTATGAAAACTGATATTTTTACTTATGGAGTCCCTGGGGTTGAACTGGAACAGATTAAAATAGCGACGGGCTTTAGAGTTGGTCAACTCCCTGTAAGGTATTTAGGGGTAACTTTAGTGACCAGGAAATTATCTGGGACAGATTATAGAGCTCTGTTGGATAAGATAAAAGGCAAGTTGAGACAATGGTCTAGTAGGAAGTTGAGTTATGGGGGGAGGCTTGGGGCTTAGAAGCTTGGTCGGCTAGAACCAAGCTTGCTGCTTGATGCTTATTAAAAATCTCTTGGCTGATGAAGGTTCCTTGTGGATCGCCTGGGTCAAGGCTTACTTCTTTAAGCATGAAGACTACTGGAAATTTGAAAGTAAGCCTCATTTCAACTGGACTCTTAGGAAATTGATTAAGATGCGTGTGCAGGCTGGAAGTTTGTTTACTGCTTCTGTTAACTGGTCACAGGCTAGAGGAAGATGGATATGGGATAAAACTAGAGAGAGGAAGGACAAGGTTGAGTGGCATCGTCTCATCTGGTTCCCTTAACATATCCCTAAGTTCTCTCTGATTTTATGGATGACCATTCTTGACAGGTTGCCAACAAAGGAGAGATTAGCTCGGTTTGCTATGGTGTCTGATGCTCGTTGTGGTTTCTGTGATGATGATTTGGAATCGAGAAGCCATCTCTTCTCGGATTGTCCTTACTCGAGGGAGGTTTGGGCTTCCATCTTGCATTTGTGTGGATTGCAGCAGCAGTACATGAGCTGGATCGATTGGCTGTGTTGGCTGAATAGAAACTTGAAAGGCAAGTCCTTGCTAGTTCACATTCTGAAACTAGCATGAACTCTTTAGAGGATTGTCGCGTCCGATTAATGTCATTGTAAATACAGTCAAAGAGGCAGTTAGTATATAGATATAATAATAATAGGTCGGATACTGTGAATAGCCAGCTTTGTGCTGATTAGGGATTGATTTAGGCGGTTACTTGTTATTTGTAGCAACAATTTGCTGATTTCTTTGGATGAATATATTTGATTGATTATCCAAAAAAGAAAATTAACTTAGATATTCTGTTTTTATGACCATTGAAGAAGGAATAAAGCTTAGTCGTCTTTGAATCAACTTCTTCACTAAATCATATCTAATTAAAGTATGGAATCGTTAACAACAAGATTACTAAAGTTCTTCATCTTGTTTCATTTCCACAACACCTCTCACTTTTATTTACTTTTTTTTTACCTGGAAACTCGTTGATTTAGTGTTTTTCATTATCGAAGTCAGCCAAAAATTGGAAACAAAAAATTAACACTCATTTGTGGTTCAATATTTTTCATGGATAAAATTTTAAGAAAGGGATGCTATCTTTTTTACTCAATTTGCTGTAAACATTGTTATGAGAAAAAATAATTTAAGAAAACAAAGAGACCATGTTTGCTACAGATTTTGGTTGAACTTAACTTTGTATTGCCATTAAAATGAAAAAGTTAGTCAAGCAAAAGAAAGAAAATATGTATAAAAAAATAATAGGTGGGGGCACAATTAGGGACGAGATTTTTGTTTGATAAGGCAATAGAGTATATTGCTCGAAACCGAAGCTTTTAAAAAATAATATTTTTTTACTATTAAGTTTTTAATCTTATTAAAATAATAATTAATTTTATCATCACATTTATTTTTAATCTTATCAAACTCAATTTTATCATTCAATTAAAGATGCTCCGGTTCAGTAAGAACAAGGCTAATCGTGGTGGAAATTGATTTGAAACTGAAACCGACGGTTACAAGAGGCATGACATCACAAACTTTTTTCCCCTTCACATCACAACAAACCCATATTAATTAAATCAGTCGATTTTGATTTTTTACCACAAAAATGAAAATGACTCCTAAATTTAAAACCCCAAGGCCTGAAAATCATCATTTTATATGATCAATCATTCACACCCACCTTAATTTTTAATTCAAGCAAACAAACAAACAAACAAACAAACCAATAAAGTGCTCAGTTTTTCCTTTCTAAAGCTCAAAAATGGCTATGGAAATGGAGTGGATAATTAATAACACAAAATGACAATGACAAGAAGAACACATGCACGAGTGGTTTATTACATGGAATTGAGAGAACTAATTCACTTGGCAGACAGTTGAAACTGATATCTACAAGGAAGAAGAGGGGCAAATCTCACAAACTAATCCCCCTTTCTCTCCTTTTTTTTTCTTCTTTTATTGTCAAATACAACTGAAACCCACATGTGTGTTTTAGACGGTTCGACAAAGGAAAGAGGCTTGCCCTGCCCAGTCCAAGCAACTGGACAGAGTTCTCTTTCTTTTTGCTGGGGACCGAATCTGATTGGTTTCCGCTTGGGTTCGGCTCAGCATCTCCCACATCACTCGCACATCCTCGTACTCGCACGACCTGACATCCTTCCGAAGCTTCATTGCCCTGTTTCATCCCATATTTAAACACCCCATGCCATGTCATTCCGATATCAAAATTCTTCTTCTTTACAACTCAAGTGAAAGAAAAAACCCTCACCCGGCACCATCTTCAACATCAAATGGTTGGTCGGGAACTGAGACTTACCTCTTTTACGAACGCCGATGCGGGCGGTGACACCGTTCCAAACCCTACGAACCGGAAGCGTCATTCTAGCAAAGGCCTGCATTCTTTTCGTCCACCTGAGAGGAGAGAGAGAGAATAGAATTCCTCCCAGATTTCAAATTTCCTGCACCAAATCATATTCCCCCACAAAAGAATTAAAATCAATCAAATTGAAAAACCAAATCAAAATTTAAAAAAGAAAAACAAAAGATTTAAAAGCGAAAGGCAACCTTCTCTTTCGTTCTCTGTCTTTTCCCCCTTCTTTTCCTCTCTCCTTGGGATGCCTAAGCACTTCCGTCTTGTATTTTAATGGCTTCCTTCGTAACAGGGAAAGTATACAAATCATCCCTCAATTATATAATATTATTTTATTGAGTATTTCGATTATTAAAATTTATAAAATATACTTCCATTATATAGAATTATATAGAGTATTATTTTGCTAAATCCGATTATGAAAAATTATAAAATGATCATTCAATTATTTATATATTTTAAACTTATAACTTTTTAAAAAAAATTGATGTTGTTTGAAATTGATGTTAAAATTATTAATTAAGATATGATAAAATTATATTTTAATAATTTTTACCTGCATCATCTTCTTGTACTAGCTTGACGTCATAATAATGGTTTGACATAATGTAAAAGGAAAACAAATGAAAAAAATAAAACTAAAATAATTTGAAGATTATATTTTATTATATCACAATCAACAAATTAATGTTTAGCTTAGAAAATAGTCATTTTTTAAACTAAAAATGATGAATTTAAAACATATGAATAATTATTTATTATTTGGTAACTTTTAATAGTATGAGACTTATAAAATACCAGTCTAAATTAGAGAATCATTTTGTAAGTTTTAATAGTTGAGATAACTCAATAAGATAACTAGCCATAATAGGAGTACTATCTATGTATTTTACACTTTAAAAAGTCTACGGAGGATGACATCATATTCCCACCTCCTGTCCGTTGGGAGTTGGGACCTGCCTTGGGATCCAATGCCTCTAACCGGAAATCTGGTAATCTGCTTTTCACTGTCCTCCCCACGTGCTCATTCCCAATTGGTTGCTTCACATCTATGACACGTGAGGGTATTATCATATTGGGCCCTCCAAGGTTTGTTTCGGCCTACGCTTTTGGAGCTGCGCGTGGATTAATTTTCTTGAAGGGGGAGCCGAATGAAACGGCCGCGTGGTATTTACCGCAAGATTCAGAGTGGGAGAGTGAGTAGAGGATGGCAGTCAACGTCAGTGAGTGTATGTGTTGGAGGAGTGAGTTACGTGTAATGCGAACAGCGGTTTGTTGGGATAAAGGTACACGTGGTGGTGTTGAGCCGGAAAACAACGTTAATAGAATCAAAATATCTAGCATTTCTTTGACCTAATATCTTTTCACTGTGAACTAGATATTTGAACTTAAACATTTATATTTGAAGTTAAATGATAAAATTTAAAATTAAAGTTATTGAAAATATTGGATAAATTATGTATTTAGTCACCCACTTATTTATTTTATTTCATTCAAAATCATATATAAAATTATGTTTTAATTCTATTTTAGTCACCCACAATTGAAAAAATAAATAGAATTATTGATGTGATATTTTTCTAATAATGATATGACATTATCTTGTGGTAACACGTCGATATTATGGTTAATATTTTAATGCCAAGTGATCGAAACATATCCAAAATGTAATGTTAGATATTATTTTTTTAAAAATAATTGAATCACAATAATAAATGTATGAATAAATACATAGTTTATTCAAATAAATTTTAGAAAATTTGAATTAACCTTATTATTAAACATTTCAAAGCTGCTAAACTAAATAGGATTAAAATATTACACAAAAACACAATTGTCAAATCGGATCCAACCGACTAGTTGAAACATTTGAGCAATATTCTCGAATACACTACTAATTATTTAGGGCAAAATTCACATATTATTATTTAACTATATCAAAATGATCATTTTAAGCAATAAACTTTTAAAAATTGCATATTGAGGAGCATTAAACGCTAGATTTGTGTAACGCCTCAGATTTTGGGTCAAGGGATCGTGTTGACTTGAGTGGGCTTCGAGTAAGTATAATTAGATAAGTAGAATGATTGTGTCAAGTTTGAACTTTATTGAATTTGATTTGAGCCCAAAATAGCCTTTAAATGAGGTTTGAATTATGAGCAAATAAGAAGGATTAAAGACTAATTATATCATTTAAAATTCAAAGGATGATTTTATTGTGCATTGTCATGAGTTGGGAAAAGGTCATTCTCTTGTATTTTTTTCATCATATTTCTCTCATTTTTTTAATCTTTTTGAAGGTTAAAATAAAGGTGGGGCTTTATTTTTCTCCATATCTAGTCCTCTTTTGTGAAGATAAGTGCTGAATTCTCATTCTTAGAGCTTCAATCCAAGCTTTTCTTCACCTCATTCGACCATGGTAGTCATGAAAGGGTTTTTGTAGGGGTTTTGAACTTTGAGCTTAAGTGAGGTTTTAATCTATTTTTAATCATTAGAATCCATTTTCGTACTTCTTTTAGGTCTTTGGGTAAGTGCATAACTCATTTCCTGATGATCTTTTTAGTGCAAGAAGTTGGAGAGACCTAAAATAAACAAGAACAAAGAAAAACTCATAATATGATGAGTAGCTGGTGTTCTTGGCTACTTTGGAATGAGATAATATACTTCTAACTTTTATACAACACCTGTAGATCAATATGTGTAGCTTGATTGCTTGTATGAATGCATGGAACAAAATGAGTGTATTTTGCGTGGGGATGGTTTGAGGCAAGTATAATGTTACTTATGCATAAAAATAACATAGAGTAAATTATACGTTTAGTACCTAAATTATTAGTTTTATTTCATTTTGATATCTAAACTTTCATTTGTTTTAAAATCATATATAATGTTTACTTTTTTTCGTTTTGGTACCTCACCGTTAAAAACTTAGCAGAATTGATTCATCATGGCAAATTTTATGGGCAAATTACATCATTCATTACTCAACTATCTTTTCACTCCTATTTCGGTCATTAAATTTTATTTTTTAATTTAAGTACTTAACTTTCAAATTTATTTTTTAATTTAATTATATATTAATATAATGATAATAAAATTGCCATGTGTAGTAAGTCTAGTAAGTTTTTAATAGCAGGTAATAAAACGAAACAAAAGTTAACATTAAGTATGATTTCAAAATAAATGAAAGTTTAGGTACTAAAATGAAACAAAATTGAAAATTTAGGTACTACATGTGTAGTTTATCCAATAACATATTTGATTTCATAAAGTTCCCGTAAGCTTTTAATTGTACCTTAGGGTCTTAATATACCATTTGGGTTGAGTTGGAGTGATTTTCCTATGAGAAACATGATAAATCTTGGTTTGTGTATCAATACTAGAGGTTCAAACAAGGGCCAAATCTAGGATTTTGGTCCAATAGTATTGATACCATGCTCATAAGGTATTGATATTGTTTATAGAATGTCGATACTAGAGTTATATTTCAAATTTTAGTGGACTATTTTGTTTTCGATACCCTAAGTTTGTATTGATACAGAAGGTTAATATAGGTACTTTGGATGGAAGTATCGATAGCGTTAATATTTTGATGGCGAATAACCAAAACGTAATCTTATATATGATTTTAAAAAATAGTTAGTTGATTAAAAAGAAATCTAAGCATAGTTGAGTGACTTGATACGTATTTAACCCTATTTTAAATGATATGACATGTTCATCTAATCCATCATAACTTAAAAAAATTATTGTAGTTAATAAATAAATAAAATATGTATAGAATAATAATCATGATGGAGGGAAGGACATCGTGTTCAGCCCTCTCATGAAAGATCTGGCACTTAGGTCACCCTTGAAAGTATAAAATAGGGAAGATGAAGAAGAAATATCTACGGATAATGAAAATATGCAAGAATCAGTCAAGATCTCCGAAGAAATTAGCATACAAGACGTTAACAGAGGCCAAGTGGAGGCACCAAGAAAAGATAACACTTGAATATCAAATGCTGATACGCAACAATGGTGACTAATCAACAAAGGAAGGACATGAACTAGAAATTCCTTGAGGAGGAGTCCGTCTTTGACAATCGTCGTAATTGTCAAATAAATAAGCCCTTTTCGTCATATAAGTAGCTAAACAAACAGAATAGGAAGAAGGGGTCGGTCCACAGGGATTCAAAATTTCAAATTTAGATTTGATTTGATGCTAACCAAAAAAACCTGTAAAATAAAAGAATTAAAAAGAGGGGTTTTGAATAATTAAACAACCAAATAAATAAAATAAAACTAAAGTGCAAGCAATAAAAAAATAAGAAAAGTAAATTGTAAAGAATTAATTATGATGAGAGAGAGCCTCCAGTGTCGCTTTGCTTCAATTCGTCTCGATCACGGAAATAGGTTTTACTTTGGATACTTGTCGGTTACATTTTACAAGGCCCAACCCTTGTAACTTGCTCTTCTCTCTAGTGAACTAATTTCCAAAGTTAATCATTGAAATTTAGCCCTTGTTTGGATTAATATCGACCATCGATATTAACTCCAATGCTGGTTTAGGAACTAAAAAAGCTCGTACTCGGATTATGGTGTCTCGAAGAGAATCGAACCCGATCTTGATTTTCATTAGCGGATCGCCGCTAAGTTTGTTCTTAGGGAATTGAACTTACTACAAGCCGATTCTCCTCCCAACTGTAAATCAAAATTTCGATCAAACCAATGCGCGCTCTTTGGATTGAAAGTGTTGAGATGTTTGAAGGAAGGCTGATTGCCTCCCCTTGCCTGCTGAAAATCAAGAAAGAAATATGAAGATATGAAGCACTTCTGCAATTCTCGCGAGAATGGATTGAGTCTTTTCTTAGCTGTCAGGTAAAGAAAAGTTTAGCCAAGCATGGTAGAGATCATGCTTGGTGTGTAGAAAGAAACAAGATGAAGAAGAATTTTTTTTATTAAACTGAAAATCTAAAACAAAAGAAAAGCCAGAACTAGTTCTATACTGAATTCTAAACTTGTACATCTCTCAAGATTCACCCATAGAGGGTATTTATAGCTTTAAGAAAACCTAAAGAAAATAAAATACTAATTCTCAAGAAAATTAAAAACTTAAATTCCTAATAAATAGTAAATTAAAAATCCTAATAATAAATAATTAAAATCCTAATTGAAATTTTAAGCAAACAAAAATCCTAATTAAATAAATAATTAAATCTAAGATGTTTGAATTTAATTACAACTTTTAATTCATGAAGAATTGTGGTTCACCTTGCTTTTCTCATTTGATCTT